TGAATTAGGTCCGCTAAAGTGATGAATAATTGACAAACTCATTAAATGTACTGTTTAATCGAGAGATTAGAGGTGAAATTACAAGAACGATTTTATGAACTTGGTGCAATATAAAAGGTATGAAACTCAAAAATATTTATGAAATACAAACATCTTTTCTTACTAACAGGGTATACTGAGGACAAAACTTATTACTTTAATATATACTTTTGGACACAGGAGTATAAACAAAAATATAATACGTAATTTTGCTAATTTACTTCCTCTAATGGGTTATTATCCATTTTGTCTTTAGTAGGAGAAAAACCTATGCACTAGTCAAGAACTTAGCTATGTGTTTGCTATCTGTAGCCAACACTAAGAACAATTCTATTTATTGGTACACTATAAAATTGACATTATACATTAGCAAGTATATGTTTTATTATAAAAAGCTGGTTAAAAGTAATAAAATAAGATCCATTTTTAAAAAGGTATAAATACCTGTTTGGAAAGTAACAGTATTTTTTAAACCAAAATAATTGGAGCTTGTCTTCTGCTATCTGTGGGAAGTAATTAGAATTTCTGAACTGGATGAAACAATTATATGTTATACATCCTTTCAGAAATATCAAGGCCTGTTCTCTGTTTTTCTGAGTAATGAGGGTTATACAGTTACTTTCCAATTTAATTGTATCTTGCAAATAATTAACTTGTTTGCTCACCTTAAGAACCTGACATTTTATGATGGTCAAATAAAAAATGTTTAATTATTTTGCTATCTTTTTATCTTCTGGAAGGAGTAGCCATGTTCAGAAATAAAGTCAATATTCTTCAGGACAGACAAATTAACTAATGCAAATTCAACTTCCAAATTGTCAACACTCTGGCTTATTCAATTTATTTGGCATTAAATTGACATAAAGGAGATTTTCCTTTATGTTAGCTTAATAGTGGCTTAAAGAAAAAGTCTGGCAATGTGTTCCAGATCAGCTCTAGAGAGAGTTTATAGCTTTCAGAAGCCTGTGGGATGCTTGCTATGAATGCATATTCCTTGGCCCCATTCTCTGCCCATGGAATCATAATCTTGTGAATACAAAAGTTGCTGAAATTTAACAGGTTGATAGTTCTTTCTGTTTATTTCTGAAAGGAAAATCTGGAGTGTGGTGTTTATTATTCTGGACTGACATTTGTGGGCACAATAGGGAATTCATATCCCAATTTTTTTAAATATAAAAAATATTTTAAAAATATGCTCACATACCAATTTTGGTATTATGTACATTGCAATTTTTTTCTAGTACTCTAAACATCAAAACAGATTACATCCTAACCAACCGAACACAAATTAGCATCAGTATTGTAAGATTTGAAAGATAAAAGACCAAAGAAAAACAACATGAAAAAATAGGGTTAAGTGAAATAAGATAAAAGTAATATTACTACTAACAAATCATGTAATAATTTGAATACACCATAAAGATTTACATACATCATTTCACATCATTTTCATATTATCTGTTTAATGGTCTTGATAACTGGTCTCTCATACTCTCCCTATCCATTTCATAAACAGGAAGGTTGAAATACAAAATATTATAGCTTCATCAAGTTGTATACATTAAATATGTACAGCTTTTTGTATGTTAATCATACCTCAATAAACTAGTTTTAAAAAATTAAGAATAGTACACATGTCATTGTCAGGTAAAAGTGCTGGGTATAACAGAACTTTATGTATCATAGGCAGGTAAAAAAAAATGAAACTTTTCTGGTGAATCAAAACAGAAAAAAATCATTAGGGTTGTAAAAACAGAAAAACCAATCTATTTTTTGAATGATACAATTTAATTACCTTGAAGATGTTTGTATCAAAATATAATAAGCAAGTTTATTCTTCATTGTGGCTCTCTCAGATGTTTGACGGTAAATGGAAGATCGGTCTCCTTTCAAACTTCCTACATGGTTGTGCTAGATAATGGGGAAGCAGGAGGTGACAAATTTGCCCCTCATGACTATCTGGCTCTCTCAGATGTTTGACGGTAAATGGAAGATCGGTCTCCTTTCAGACTTCCTACATGGTTGTGCTAGATAATGGGGAAGCAGGAGGTGACAAATTTGCCCCTCATGATCCAAATAAAGTGGGTCAACAAAATGTGTTTAGATCTTCAACTTGTTTTCTCGAATCATTTAACCGCACAGCGTTCTCCACTGCATGTCAGCTATGGGCTGGAGATGTGAATAAATTGTTCCTATCGCCTTGTGATGCTAACCTGGTAGTGCCTTAAGTTTCAAAACATTACCATATACTCATATTTGTACTGACACCTCTCCTGGTTTATGGCCAAAAATTACATGTGTAGGAAGGAAAATCAATAACTAGAAAAAAAAAAAAACCCTCTAGAAAGAAATCTAAAAAATCCACTTAATGAAGTAAATATATGTAGATAACTTTAACAACAATGACATATTAAACCTGAAATTATAAGACTTAAAAAAACTCATTGCCTTTTTTGCTCAATTGGCTTTTTTCCACCTCATTTTACTAATACACCATTCTAAAGATAGACATAATATTTGATATCATACATAAAATACAGTGATTTCAGTACCCAAGAAAATATAGTCCTATTTTTTCTCCCACACTCTGTTGGAAGTTCTTTAAATGTAAAGGGAAATATTACTTGGCTAAAACCAAAAGCAGCCTGTCATATAAAGCCTGGATCAAGAGGTAGGTTGTTTCTCAGAGAGGAAATAAAAAAATTCCACCACCTCTGTGGTTTCCAAGAGAAAAAAACTAAAGTGATAATAATTCATACATTTCCTAGAAAATTTTAAAAATAACATAATTTGTCCTAAATGTCAGGCCCTGCTTTAAAAAAAAAAGTGAAAGGAAGCAACATAGAGGAAGCATTGTATATTTTTTCAGCAGTGATTGTTCACATAAAGATGTACTCACCAGGAAGCTATAGAAGAATTCATGGACAAAGAGGCCCAGCATGCAAACCAGGACATATGCTACGTGATAGAGAAAGGCCATATCCAGGATGACTGCTCGGTACCCTCGGGTGAACGTGCCGCGATTTCCAACAAAACTCACCAGAAATACTATTTTATTACAAAGCTAAAGGGAGGAAGAGATTAGATGTTACGTCTTATTTATCCTGAAAATCACACAAATAATAGGACATCGACAAAAACTATTATTCACAAAGTCTATGATTTTCTTTCAAGATTTCTCATTTTGTAGTTTTATAGCATTGCTTACAAATCTGCATGTAAACATAAAACCTGCAAAACTTGAATCCTCTGCAGGTTCAGGAAAAGAGAGTATGATTAAGCTATGCAAGCACTACAGATCTGAAGTTAAGTCCTGGCTCTACCATGATGACTGTGTGCCCTAGTTCATGCAACTGTAGGCCTCAATGACTCCTTCTGGAAAACTGGAATAAAAGAATTCTCACCTTATAGAACACTTCAGAAGATTAAATGACATAATGCACATAAAGCACTTAATACATGACTCTTTAAATACTACTTTTATTATATTTTCCATATTAAAAGCAATGTGTAAAATGCTTTATTATGCTGGAAATATAACAGAAAAATATCATTTCAGAAAATATCCAGAGATCTGTCCTTGATTTTTTTCTTTTTTTTATCCTGGACTTTCTCTGCTAAGGATTATTTTAAGCAAGTAAATCATTAAAATTATTTTGCATTTAATTAAGTACCTGGGTTAAAAGAAATATAATGCATGTATATATTTTCTAAGCCCTATGTGTGGTAATTATTCAATAAACATTTTGCAGTGTTTATTATGCCTCTGACCATGTAGAGTACATATATTCAAACTATATTTAATACTGCTTTTTGTGACATAATTTTGGAATGTAGAAATTTTTACTGAGATTCTTTGATAACAATGATCTGTGTAAGGGTTTACAAAAAAAGAAAACAAAAACAGTTATCATAAACTTACTGACATCAGGGGTCTTTGAAAATTTCATGGAATGATTCATATTATCTTTTAATTCTATTTTTCCATGAACTCTCTGAAGTACCCTGGTATTTGGTTCTAGAATCACTTCATTATTTATAACCTAAAGAGCCAATTTTGACTCTTAGTCATCAAGGAAAGAATTACAGATTTCAAGAGTTCAAAGTTTGCTCTCATAAATGTTCCCTGAGTTCCTTAGGTTTTACTGAAATCATATTTGCCTTTAAATACCCAAACATAACATTGGGAAAACAGATTGCTCTTTGCAACATTGTTTCTCTTTTTCTATATATATATAAAAAATACCTCATGGAATGATTTTAACATAAGAAGGAGCATAACACTTTGAGGCAGATGTGAAATTTGAGAGGTTGAAAACCTTCTCCTTCAACTTCCTGAAGTCTAAATCAATACAGATGAAATGAGAAATGGGTTATTTTATTGCATGCCATGAGGAGCCAACCAAATCAACAGCACAGCAACTAAAAAACGGCAAACGTTTCCTAAATTTCCCTCCTGCTGATTAACTATCCTCAGTAATCGATATTATCGCTTCTTTCATTATCTTGTTGTCAGTTTCAATAATGTCCAACAGAAAGTCTTACTTCACTATTTAGTGTTTCAACATTCACAGTTTAGGCTAGTAATAAATGTAACTATAGTAAATGAATGTCTTTATATTTACTGTTCAAGAGCAGGTTTAATATAAGAAGTCGTTATTAACAACCCAGAAAATACATACAAGATGCTGATCTATATGAAGTATTTGACAGTACACCAATAAAAATAATGAAAAATGGCATTTCCGAGCAAAGTAATATTCAGTAGTTTACTCTTTCAATTGTTCTGAGTGGCTATTGCTTAAATTTACCCTATTTACCTTGTTCACCCAGTAGAGTTCATCAATACAATATAGAAATAAGTTCTATGAAAAATAAAATTAAAAATTGGAATCTTAACTTTTCAGAAAGGTAAATGATATGGTTAAGACAAATTATTTATATGCTGTTTTCTGATCTCTAATTCTCTAAACTGAATAAAAATAATAATACAGGAAAACTACTTTTAAGCTCCATACAATGAGGAAAAATAATACATTGCATTCAAATTCTCAAAAAAAGTAAGACATTTCAGTTATCACATAATGCAAAAGCAAGGAAACATTTCTGCCTGAAAGGGTCCCTGCCATTTCCACAGGAAAAATAGAGATTTGCTTTGTTTCCAGGGTGTTTTTTTTAGCCCCCCTTTTTTTGAACCTTGATCTAGAGCTTAATTGATATGTTCCTGTTCTCTTGACCAAATCTCAAAGCAGAGCGGAGTAGCATCCACCTATTTCTGCAGAGATCAGAAACAGGGAAATTGTCCTTTCCTCTTAAAGTGTTCATACTAAGGAGAAACAAGTGCAGGAATAAATGGTTCAAGTGGGAAAGAAGTTGAACTCTGGTTTCTTCTTCACCATGAAATTTACAAATTATTTTTACATAGCATTTGCCATGAAAGCTTGGAATATTTTTGCACTGAATGAACAAGTTGGAAAATGTTTTTCTTTTTTTTTTCCCCGCATGTCATGTGTTAGTTGATGTCGTCTAACCAGTCCTCCATTTGTCAATACCATTATTAGGCAATCACTGTTTCTATGGCAAGGGTCCATGTGGGCAACAACAGATGGAAAGTGTGGGCACTGGACAAGATGGCTAAAAGGCCACGCAGTTCAGAGCTGGTGTTGAAAGGACCCTAGAGTCAGCACTCAAATACCAACAACACAAAGGACTATAATCGTCCCATATATTGTTTTTCTTTCTCCACCTATTCTTCAAAGCTGCCAATGGTATATTTTTTGCTGGGAATGGGGTGAATTGCGTGATGGTGGGGAATAAAAAGGGGAGTGGAGAAACAGTATCAATGCAAGCTTTCTGGACAAGTTTTAAAACTGATACACCATCCCAATGATTTACCATTAGGTCTTCTAAAAACAAAAACAAAATTAAAGTTCATTTGTTAATTCATGTACACTGAAGCAAGCTCATTAATTTTAATTAGGTAAATAAATTATACAGTGAAACAATATTTTCATATACGCTTCACAGTTTATTGATATGTCTTTGAGGGTCTTTTAATAGTTCAGTCTAGTGGAAAGACACTGGATTAGAAGTCAGGCCACCCGGGTTCCAGTCTTGACTCTGCCACTAATTGCTTTCCTTGGTAAATCCTATTGGTCTCCACAGGACTTCATATCCCTCATGTCTAAAATGAAATGTGCAGAAGTGAATAATCCTTACGGTACCTCATAGCTCCAGGATTCTATGTGATGTCCCTTAAATTTTAATATTTTATGTGATCACATAAATTTATAGCTGCTATGTCTTTGTCTTCATATTATTCTTTTGGTCTTATTTAGTACTCTGTCCCTGATCAGGAATTCTATCCTCATCTTATATTGTTCTTATGAAAAAACATGACCTATTTTCCAGGAATAAATTGTAGAATGAAAAAAAAAAGACCATCCGTCTTCTTATTTATTAAAAGGTAAAATTGAATTTATGATCTTCAACTATATTACCATGTTTTTATCAACCATGTAAATCAAACTTCTTACTAAAAATGAGATGATTTGATTCAAAAATCTCTCTTTCAGTTGTTTTACATCTAAGTCAGGATATGGTCATTTAAGGTCAGTGTGTAGGGCAAAATTTTCATAGTCAAAATCACCCTGGAAATCTTTTAAATTGCCCACAAAACAGTACAATAAATACAGATGGTATAGACAGTAATATCTCTCACTAAATTTAACACATCCTAGTTTCACCCCAGCACTGGAGCAGTTTTCTGTTTCTGCAACTGAATGTTAGTTAGGAAAATTCAGTGACCATATTTTATGAAAAAATAGTGTGTAAGAGTGAGAGAGAGAGTATAAAAGTTTTGACTCAGAATACATAATTGAATTTGTGTATGTTAAGTAAATATATGGTGGGACACCTTACAGATTAGCAGTGACGTGAGACCTCCCAGAAAACTACCTACACCTAGGTAACTAAGGACATCACACTATTAAACTTGAACACTGTGGCTTAATGTTAGTAGACTAGCTACCTGCTAAACTCCATTTACTTCTCTCTGCAAAACGGTGAGACCAAGTTCTAGCAGAAGAAAACAATTCACATTACAAACAATTGTAAGAAAGACAAATGAGTTATAAATACCATCAAATAAATTATACATTTACGGACACTACTTAAAAAAACATTTAGATAAAAAGTGTTCAGAAGATTTATTAAAAGATCTTTCACTGATATTTACTGCATTATTAGTCATTACAAAAATATTTAAAAATCTAAACAAAAGAAATTAAGGGAGTGGTTAAACAGATTATATAACATCTATATAACTGGAAATATTATAGTTATTAAAATGAGGTTTACAAATAATTTCAAAAGTATGAAAAAATATTAAGTGGTCCTAAATTTATAAAATGTGTACTTGAATTTGTCAGAATAATATATTAATTTCCACCACCAATAACTAAAAATGCAGTGTAGTGGATGGGAAGAAAATGATATTGGGGGCCGGCCTGGTGGCGCACTGGATCCAGTGCGCCGCTTGGGAGCACGGAGGCACTCCCGCCCAG